GTCAGAGAGTACTACATCGAGCCGGTTCGCCCATTCATTTGGTTTGCAGTGCTACTACCGAAGGAAGTAAAAGTTGTTGTATCCTGAAAGATAGATAGACGCTACCGAGTCTGTCTTAAGGACATAGAATCAAATTATAGCCTCAACTTATTTCCAGGTTCTTTTATTTTGTTTTATTTTATTTTATAAGATATTATATATATAGATTATTATTTTATAATAATAATTATATATACACACACATTATATTTATGTATAATATGTAAATAGTAATATTATAGTGTATGGTATATTTAGACCATATTTTTTGGACTACAATTAATTTATTCACAAATTAACTTAACGAAAAATAATAATAATAAAAAATAAATAAAACCTTTCCACCAGCTTCATATTGCTCAATCAATTGGAATGTTATGGTACTTAAACGTACATTAATAAAGATACAGTTAAATTGTACAAAGAAGCCAGGAAAATCATGACATTAGAACAGAATGAAACTATGAGATATTGAAGATCGAGTTTCATCTCTGTGGTATAAAAAGAAAAAAGAAAAAAGAGAAACACATGGAAGATAGATATATACAATACAAAATGTCCTTATTATACATATAGATTGCCGGCATATATAGTACAATACATTATTCTATCACACCAGGAATCAGCGCACACAGACATCAGTGGAGAAGAGAGAGGAGGGGTGGTGGCAATGGTGGGTGGCGGCGGAAGGAAGTGAGAGAGAGAGCAGAGAGATGAAAAGAAAACGCAGAGAAAAAAAAAAAATGAAAGGGGAAAGAAGACAGGGACAAAGTGGTCATTTCATGATAGAATATATTTTATTTTTTATAATAAATTAAAAAGTAAGGGTAAATTAGTAATTGTGCTCTTCAGTTAGTTGAAAATTAGCTTCCGGTGACCTTTAAGGGGGCATTTTGCTTATTTTTGATAGTTAAAGGTGATAACTTGCTTTAAAAAATAGTTTAGAGGGACATTATGCAACAATGAAATAGTTTGATGTTTTTTTTTTTACTCTTATGCCCAACAATAATGATGAAAAAGCTACTCCAATTAATCCGAGAACCCCAAGCCAGGGGGATGTTCAAGTCAACAACACGATATATATATATATATATATATATATATATATATATATATATATATATATATACACACACACACAATTCGATGCCATGGGGACGAGGGCACAGTTAAAACAGACAGAATGAAAAAAAACATTACTATATTATTTTTAGAATAATTAATGGTGGGGTTGGCTAGAGAAAATTCTTACACACAAAAAAAAATACCAACAAGAACATGGAAGAATTTACTAACAACCATTTAATCCCTCACTTGCCTTTTTTTATCCCAGGGTAAAGGATGAATGTGTTTTTATGGTTGGTAATTAATAAGGGTAATACTGGAAACAAATTCTTACCGAAAAAGAAAAATACCAACAAGAACATGGAAGAATTTATTAACCATTTAATCACTCACTTGCCTTTTTTATCCCACTGTAAAGGATGAATGTGTTTTATGCATAATTGGTACTTTAGTAATTAATAAGGGTAATACTAGAAACAAATTCTTACCCAAAAATAAAAAAATACCAACAAGAACATGGAAGAATTTACTAACCATCTAATCCCTCACTTGCCTTTCTTATTCCACTGTAAAGGATGAATGTGTTTTATGCATGATTGGTACTTTAGTAAGGGTAATACTGGAAACAAGGTTCAATTTTGAACTAATTTAAAAATAAATTTCAAAAGTGTAACTTCTTTATGCCAATAAAAAAAATTATAGGTTTTATATTCCGTTTAGTAGAAGAAGGAAGAAGAGTGGAGAAAAGATAAGAAGAAATAAGCAAAATTCATTCAGTTGGTAGAGACTAGAGAGGAGGTAAAAGAGGAGATAAAGAGGATGCACGAGTCATCGTTCCTCCTCAACAAATTTTCTTCTCTAGATATAGCCGGAAGACATGAAGAAAGAAAGACAATGTTATTAAAAATGTTTTTAAATTACAAAATGGTCCTTGTGATTAACATTTTTTCTTCCCTTCTTATTTAACAAACAAAATAAGATATCATTCTCTTCTCTTCCAATATTTAACCAAACAAAAAGAGGGAAGTATACAAACAAAAAAAAAGGAAGTATACACTTTCTTCCTTAATTAGGAATTTCTCGTTCATCTATTCCTTTAATTTAATTTTCTTCCATCATATCAAACAAACAGAGCATTAGTTGTCTTTAAGGTGCAAAAATAGGACTAGAAAGTAATTTCCCTAGATTTAACTCCCCTCTATTTACTGCATCAATTTATGAAGTCGGTTTCCTTATCTTTCCTTATCTCTCCTTATTTTCTCTCTCATCTTCTTCTTAAACTCATCCAATTGGTTAGGGAGAAGAACAGAAAAACATAAAGGATTTAATATGGCCATAGTCGTATTAAAAATGAGTTGGTGACAAATTAATCTTTACCTATATCATTGCAATGATTGAAATCAATTAATCCTCTCTTAAATCACAACTAGCCACCTCCCATTTTATTTCATTAAATTAGTGGCCCATATACATGGTGCCACTTGCCATGCACTATTTTTCATGGCATCTGGCTAGTATTACAAATGATTCGAGCCAAGTTCCACTAATATTCGAATTCGGTTTGTTTGTTTGTTTACAAATGAAGCTAATTTGGCTCGTTACTAAAAGACTTGACTTGTTTAACACTTAAAGTCAGCGTTTAGATTTAATTTGAGTTCGTCTGAGATTTATTTTGTGTCATTCATGAATTTAGACAAGTCTATACATGTTTGTGTTCACAAACATATATTCATGAGTTTATTTTCTTTATGAACCAATGTAATTCTATGTATTGATGAACATATGTGAGCCTGCACAAGCCCGGCCTAATAATGTTCGGGATCAGATTTTTGCATAACACCCCATGTCCTCACTGTGCCATTGAAAATTAAATGGTACAAGATCATATGCAATTCACGTGACTTGAAATTTTTTTGAAAAATTAGAAATTAAACAACAAAATTATAATTACCTTATGACCATTTCTTATCGGGTGAAAAAAAACTTGAATGGAGTAGTTGTAAGCCCTAATTTCCGAATTCAAATTCACTCACCCAATTCTTTAATGTGCATCGCGATTGAAGAAACTCTACTTCAGTTCGTTTTACTCACTGTTAATTCTTTCTCGCTCATGTTTTAAAGGTTTGTTTTTTTGTTTTTTTGTTTTTTTTTTGTCAGGGAAATTTTCCACGGATGCTATTGGAAGAGACACGCAAACTGGCATTCGCATGCACATATTCATTGCACGATTGTGCTTGCAAGAAATAAATAGGTTGTTTGTGCAAATTGGTGTACAACTTGACAAGCCATAAGTTTAACATGGCTTGTTAAAATGCCTCAAAGTGTGGACCACAAATGGTGTACATTTCTTACCCACTCACCACATGCAATCAAACTAAAATGAACACCTAGTTGTTTGTCCAAATTGGCGTACAACTTAACTTGCAATCACTTTCAACATGCCTCAAACTAGAGGCCAATGGAGTGTACCTCTGTCAACACAAACAAACTAGTGTTGTAATGACAAAAATGTCCCTTAATATAATTTAAGAAAAATTTACTCCTTTAATATATCATTAAAATTAATATAAATAACTAATACGGTATGGTATTGTTAATATATATTTTTAATTGTGTGTCTATAAGAAAATAAAAATATTTTGAAATAATTTCAAAGTTATATTAAATTTTTATTTTTAAAAAATTAATAAGGAAAATAAAACCTAAAGTAATAATCATTTTAAAGTTTTTTTTTTTTTTAAATGTATATTAAGGGTCATTTTTGTCATTATAACATCACTTTAATGGTATGTAATTTTCAATATTTTTAAAAATTAAATTTATATTAAAGAGCATTTTCGTTACTATAATATCACTTTGTTACAAATTAGATACTTAGGGAGGTTTTATATCAACTTTTTCTTTTCTCCTTTATTTATTTATTTTTTGGGGGTAAGTAGTAACCACACACATATCAAGCGCCTTAAGTGAAACTTGAACTCTAGACTTTCCCTTTAGAGAAAGAACCAGTACCACTAGGTCGCTTGACCCTTTGATTTTAAGCACGTATGCATGGGTACATTGAAGAGGTTGAAGAAATTGGTCCGAATGCACAAAACCTATGATCCATGGTTTGAAAAATTGAAATGGTGAATTCATTGATCTCATGTCAAAGGTTTTTTAACAATGGCACCATTGCTAAAAAATTATATGGGCTCCTACTTTTTAAAGAAAGATTAGATATTTAAGTTTCAATAGAGACATGTGTTTATAACAAATACACCGAAAGAAATCAATATGAGTAACACTGGTAGATTAAGTTATCAAATTTTCATTACTGAGAAATTTTCATTCCATTGTATGAGTAAAGTTGTAATTTTGACTTTTGCCATGACCTTATTTGTCCATTACTTCTTGGGTTTTTATTTGTAAACATAAAATTTGTTTCTTGTTTAACGTAAAGAAAAAAAGAAAAAATATCATCCACATCCAACTTGTCAAGATATAATTTTTAAAGGATAAGACTAGCTCACGGTAAATAGGTTATTCTTACTCACCCTTAATATGGTTATATCATAAATGCACACATAGTTTGTGATTATTAAGTGATAAATAAAAAAATTAAAGAAAAGTGACTGAATTTAATGTAAAAAACATCTTCTTTAATTTCCTTATTTATAGTTTTTTTGATTTTATAATTACAAATTATTTTAACTATTTGTGATTAGACCAGCAACAGAGATGATAGACAAGTCTTGCCTATTTTTAAAACCCCATATTCCTGTATATTCTTGTCCGAGTTCATCCAAATTAGACAGCCCCATTAATATTAGTTCAAATACCAAAAATACCCGTCCCAATTTCCCTCCAACAGACGTTCTCCCCTCCCTTTCCTGTATATAGATAGATATTTAAAGTATAAATATATATATATATATATAGAGAAAGAGTGAGAGGAGAGAGAGAGAGGGGGTCGACGTGTAAATCCGACGCATGAATACCACAGGCCCCGCTCAAAATGGGGGTGCCTCTTGCTTGACCAACGGGTTTCCGTTGGGGGAAAAGTCTGGGGACGTGAGAGAGCGAAGAGAGAGAAAACAAACAGATTGATTTGATTTCTCTTCTTCTTCTTTTCTCTCCTTTCTCATTCTTTCTTCATCACAATCTAAGTTATAGTCACTCATTACACATATAATTAATTATTTAATTATTTATTTATTTGTTATATGTTTATGCAGTTTCTATACCAAGGTACGTACACATCTGATCTACATTCCCCTGAATCTTTACGCATTAAAGAACCCTAATTTCAATTACTTTCTGATATGATCAATGTGCACACAGGTTGTTGATGAGTGGTTTTGATCTGATGACTACTCGAAACACAGAACCTTCTCAGGTATGAATCATCAATTGATCAAGTGTTAAATTCCATTGTGCATTGTAGTGTGCGTATATATATATATATACACACACATACATACATATACATATACGTATTTATATAATTATTTTGCTTTATAAATGTTTTTTTTGGAAAATATTTATTTTGCTTTATAAATGTTGAATTGAGGATTGGTGAGGTTTTTTTATTTATTTTTTATTTTTTTATTTATTTCAGGGTGATGGTGTTCACTCTCAAGCTCATCCGGGACCGCTTGATCATCAGCGTTCTGTTGGTGCCAATAAGGTAATTATCATCCTTTTCCTCGATCAGACCAGTGTCATTATATGAATCTATATGCAATGCGATCACTAGGCTTGTTTAGTTGTTTATTATCATTGTGCTGTTGTATCTCAGAGCGATGGCGGTCACCCCCCAGCTCCACCGGGACAATCCGGTCCACCCGATCAACGTGCCCGCGGTGGAAACAAGGTAACTGTGTCTCTGATCCCTCCCAGATCAGCTAGTGTTGTAGAATTGAATTGGCAATATGATCACTAGAGTTAATCTTGTTCCGGGGATGGCTTACTACTGAATTGGGCACTATTTATGTTCCAGTTTTTCATTTGATTTGGCTGTTTTTCGGTTTGCCAGGTTTGAAGCAGGATTTGCTTTATTTTTTAATCGGCTTCAATTAACCTTTTTAAATGGATATATAAATGTGGGATGAAGTAATTAAAAATGATTTAAAAAAATTAAATCTAAGAGAAACAAGTGTATAAACATAATAGGAAAGAATTGAAGAAAGATAATTCATGTGGCCAGCCCTATCCATATAGGATAAAGGCAAGGATGATGTTGGGGATGAATAGTGGGTCTAAGATGACTATGATGAAGTTCAACATGTTGTATAATAACATTGATTTGTTAATAGTCTGTGTTGTTAAGCATAAAACGGAAGCGAAGAGATAAATAAAACAAGTGGAACACACAGATAGTACATGGTTCAGCCACTAGGGCCTACATCCACGGCACAAAGAGCCCAAAGGGCTACATCACTTCTATAATAGTCTCTCAATTCATGCACAATATAATGGTGGAGGCTCCTATATATAGGAGAAAAAATTTATGAGAATGAAAAGAATTAGAAAATAGGAAACAAGGAGGATTTTTCTCCCCTGATTCCTCTAGTAACTTCAAATCTTCAATAATAGGAAACAACATCAATTATTGAAAGATTCTCCTCCATTGATTCCTCTATTAAATCTTTAATACTCTCCCTCAAGTTGGAGCATGAATACCCAACTTACCATTGAGATGACGAGTAACACGAAGTGTGAATGATGAAGAGAGAAAAGAGAAGACGAAGAACAATGCTACCGAACACTCTGGCAGCCCAAACAAGTCAACAAAAAACTGATGAAGACACGGCAAAGGCGAAGACAATGTTACCGAACATACCGGCAGCCCAAATAAGTCTCTATAAACTGCCGGAGATATGACAAAGACAAAGACAATGCTACCAAACACACCGGCAACCCAAACAAGTCAATAAAAACTGCCAGATACACGGCAAAGGCGAAGAACATTATTGCCGAACAAACCGGCAGCTTAAACAAGTCACAAATAGTACCGAGAAACCCTTAGCAACATTTCAGATGCTAAGGGAATACCCCAAAATAGGGGTCCGAACCTAGGGAGAGAAGTTAGGCTCTGATACCATGTTGTAAATAATGAAATATAAGTGAATAGAGAAATGAAATAAGAAGAACACATATGTTACGTGGTTCAGCCACTAGAGCCTACATTCACGGCACAAAGTGCCCAAAGGGCTACATCACTTTTATAATACTCTCTCAATTCATGCACAATACAACGGTGGAGGCTCCTTTATACAGGTGAAGAAATTATGAGAATTAGAAAATAGGAAATAAGGAGGATTTTTCTCCACTGATTCTTCTAGTAACACCAAATATTTAATAATAGGAAACAACATCAATTACTGAAAGATTTTCAATAGTCAGGAACTCCATTTTGCGAAACTGTCATTTTATCACATGATGTAATTATTATATTCATCATATGCAGCGAGTTTCTTGATACACAGATATGCACTATGTTTTGCATGTTTAGTAATACAGTAGTCTTGCTTACAATGTTGTTGACTCTGTTTATTCTGCATCTAGATTTGTCCTTCCTCTACTCCTGGTTTTCAAGAAACAGGAAAGCTTATGCAATCTAAAATTTAAACTGCCTTGCAGGTTTACAAGAGTGGGCCGCTATTTATATCATCCAAAGGTCTGTTTTGCTTCTTGATTGGAATAGTTTGCTTAAAAAGAAAATCATTGATGTCAAGAAGCTTGAATCCAAATGATTTACATGTTTTTCTCAGTTATCTTGTTAGATTTAACGTGTTCTTTATCCCTTGGAACTTTAGTTATGTGTTTGATTTTCCATCATTTTAACCTTACGTTGTCTTTATTTCAAGAAAAAATTCATTGTAAAAAAGTTTGTTACACTTTGGTAGCTGTGCGCACTGTGCATTAGACTGTACATTGTATATGTAGTATGGCCAAATTTTTGTATTGAAAATGTAATTTTATTCAAAACTTCTATCTTTTTTTTATAATGTAAACATTAAACTTACAATGGCTTTCTCAAGCCATTCACATTGTGCAAATTTTTTTTATTTTTTTATTTTTTATGAAAGGGGAGGAACATGCTCTGTTGGTAGCACTCTTCTAAATACTAATTTATTACTATTATTATTATTATTATTATTTTTTCTTTCTTTCTTTCTTTTTTTTTTTTGTTGTTGTTTTTTTTAACAAGTTTTACATCAGTAAGAACTAAAACAACTATCTACTACACTTTCCAGGGACCAATAAGGCTTTTAACCAGCGTGGACCTTACATTCTTAATTTCAGGCTTGTAATTCCGATCAGTAAATTACCTTGAAGCTTCTTCATGTGCCAGTATAGCATCATTCCTCATTTTAGTGATCCTTCCAACGAACCTGAAGCTTTTTCCATTTGTTTAAAATCCTCTACTTTTTTGTTTTCTTTGATGGATTGTAAGAAATATGCTATGGCAGGAACTGTAGGTAAGCCCAAAGTAGAGAATTGAACACATTCAGGGAAAATAGAGAGCTTTATTTGAACTATGTGTATTAAAATCTGATAGTTGGGATAAGGATCTGTCTCTTGTTACTGCTTCATGTTGTATATGACATATTCATCCAGATACATCTATGTTAACGAATGCTTGATCATTGCTCTGTTACATTTTACCACTTTAATCCACCGGAACCAGATGGTGCAAGTTTTGTTGCCATATGGTTTGAGCTTATTTTATTACTTGCCTCAGCTTGGTGTTGACCCTTCAGGAATTGATTTCAAATTCTTTTGGAGGCTATTTAGTGGTAGGAGAGGAAACTGCCATGAACATTGACCGACACCAGTTGGCGACGTGGCGTATAGGGTAACCTTTCCTATTGTGTATTTCAAAGCATTATTGGCAGGTGTTCAACAACTAGCTTAGGGTTGAAGAGTCAACCTAACTCAACCTGGACTATTGGCACTGCTGACCAAGCCTAGGTTGAACTCGTCCTCGGGTTAGGGAGACCTAGCCCGAGCTAAACTATGGTCGGGTTGGCAGCAATGAAAAGATTAACATGTTATACCATAATGCTAGGACCTATTTGCCTGATAGGATATCCTCCCCCACTCAAAAAAAAAAAAAAAAAAAAAAAAAACTACCACCCTTGTCAGTGCTAAATGGCAGACGGACGCCGGACGTTACTTTTTGCATGAATTGACATTTCTGCATGAAATGACAACTCAGGGCAAAAATGTCAATTCATACAATTACCACTCTTGTCAGGCTAGGTGGCACATTTGTTGGGAGCTTGGCCTATTAAGAGGCAAGTGAATTGTATTAGAAGGAGAGCTACCTAAGGATATAGAGAGTGTTGTTAGGAATGATATGAGAATTTGATCTTGTATATCTTTCCTATATAATTTAATAAATTCTTGCTTTGTGAAATAAAAAAGAGAAACCTATGAACAAAAAAAACATATGAACAGAGAGGTGTTGCCTGAAGAAGTGTCGGAAGAAGATGCGACTGTTGGAGGAAATTATCTTAGGAAAAAGAAAAACAGAGACATATATAAACAAATATATATTTACATGTATAATGAATTGAAGAGACAAATAATCTAACAAAAATAAGAGATGTATATGTATATATAGGTATTAATAATTCTTTGAGATCATGTGTATACCAATTTGGGTATGTATATACACACAGTTGTATTCTTTGAGAAAGTTTATACATGTATAAATTTATGCACACACAATCTCAAAGAATTAACTAGCCATTTCTCTCTCTCTAAATTCAACTCAATTACTCTTTTTTCACATAGCTGCCATAAGACCCATTTCTCAATCATATCTCCTTTTCAACAAACCCCAATTTGAAACAAGAAAACTCTATCCCACTTCCATTGCAAATCCCAATTTCAATTCTAGGGTCTTCACAAGAAATTCCTCCTTTTTCTACAGTACAGGCAGTGCTATTGTGATGCCTTTGAAAAAGAAGATGGTGGCTGTATCAACCATGGTGGCGGAGGAGCTGAAGAAGAGGTACCTGGAGTGGCCAAAGGATCACGAAGGGATGAGAGAGAGTGTCAAATGGAATTTGGTATTTTGAATTTTTTTTTTTCTTAACTGTATTGACGTCTAGATAACGTAAGGGTGAATTTGAAATGCCACGTCATACGTCAGGGTAGGTTGGTGTAATTAGGCCTATTTTCGACCACCGTGTGTAATTAATTTAGAAATTCTTGTTTATTCGAGTAGTCTTTCTGAAATGTAGTTGCAGTTGTGAACTTGCTCTTATGCTTGTCTGATTGCTTATCAAGTTATCTTCTATAAGATGTAATAGACATTTCAATACGAGGTTCAGTACATGATTTCCTATTGTTGTGAAGATGATAAATTCATCTGAAACTATTATTTTGTGATTTTGCTAATGTAGGAATTGGATGGACATCCTGGAAGAAAAGGTGGTTTATTTTAACACGTACCTCATTGGTCTTCTTTAGAAGTGATCCGGTAAGTTGCAAACAGTAAGTGTGCGTGTTCTTTTACACCATGATCTTTCATATCTTAGATAGATGTAATGTCGAAAATTGCATTTGTAATCTTTTATATTTAAGTTGCTGTTACCATAAGACTACTGTGAGTTATTCTCAGAATTTTTTGTGTGTTGTTGAGGGGGAGGAGGAGGGGGTAGTATTTGTTATCTCAATGAATTGTTTTACAATCCTCGGTGGTGCATCCTGTATCTCTGTTTCTCTAATTTGTTATTTGTTCTGCCTCTCCCATCACAATTATTGTGAAGAGACATCTACAAGCACAGAAATTATACTATGCAAATATCATATCCTCCACCTTATTTATTTTGGAGTGCTTTTAATTTCTCTCACATTGAACATGCTGCATAGGAAACAAAGCTGTTGTTTTTAGTTCAGTCAGCATCGTGCGATTTTGGAGTCCGTTGATTGCACATTTGTGGCGAATAATGTGATTCTGATTCTAATGCTGTTGATGTTGATATTGGTTGTGATGGTAAGCTGATACTTCTACTGGTGCATAGGTCACGATTTACCATATTTGTGTGGTGTTATAGTCTCAGTTTAGCCTATTCTTTTTTGGATTTGATATATGTGGCACCTACTTCAACATGCCAGCCTTGATAATTTGAGAAGGAGCTAAGTTTAGGATGTTCGTAGATGAATAGCATACTGCAACTGAGGGATTATGAAGAGATAGGTGGGTTCAGAATCATATCGATTGGTATAACTTATGGCACATTCCACTATAGTTGTAGCTGTAATTGCATAGATTGGACTGCTTGAGTAGAGGGACAACAGATATTAACAAACAAAGAGTAGATATGATTTTAAATTTTCTAGTGTCACAATCAATTAGGTTATTTATTAGGCTTGCTCTCAATTTAATCAGCTAGAATCTTTCTGCTTTACATCTATGGTGTCAAATCAGGGTAGAAAGAGGCGGGTTAAGAAAGTGTATTTCCTAATATATATATATATATATATATCACTTTTTAATTCTTGACAGTGCCATGTTTACACTCCAAATTTTTTGTTGTCTTGTTCTTCGTATTTGATCTCTATTAGCCCTTTTTGTTTCTATTGTGTTCTGTTTTGCATTTCAGCCTTAGAAAGTGTTATTCCATAGTCTATCATTCATAAAAATTCCCCAAAGGATCCACGGGGAACTGCAACCCTAGTTTAGATTTTGATAATTGATCATCTCTTTTCCAATAATTTTTTTGATACTGAATAGGTAATTCTGGTTGACTAGGAAGCAAGGATACGGACATGAGTATGACACGAGGCAAATCTAAAAAAATTAGGACATGGATACGTCAAAAAATAATAATATAATATATTATTATATAATTTTTTTTTTACTCATTTTGTCCATACAATCATGAATGAAATAACTTTTTTGGAGCTTAGAGCTAGATGTTTGTTGCTTTTGTTTTCTTAAATTATATATATATATATATATATATATATATATTTCTAATTAACTCATAATATATTTTAAATTCCATTGAATCCTATTCTTTTAAAAAATACAAAACCACCCCACCGTGTCCATGCCGTATCCTAATTGTGTTCAAGAAAAAAAAAAAATTTTAAACTTCAAGACACTTCTAGCCGTGTCCGACACGTGTCCAAAGTGCCCGACACCTTTACGACACCCCTAGGTGAAGTGTCGGTGTTTTTCAGGTGATTGAACAACGCTTGAGACGAGAGACGGAAGTGTCAGAAAATCAATTTGGATTCATGCAAGGTAGGTCAACTGTAACAACCCTCACCTTACCTAGACACAATATTGTCCGCTTTTGGCTCCCCCGGACTAGAGACTTCCCAGGGAGTAACCCATCCTAGTACTACTCCAGGTTAAGCATGCTTAACTCTGGAGTTTTGGTGAGTTCACAGCCATCACAGCTTTAAAACGCGTTGTGCCATAGAAGGGTGTTGAATCTACATATAACACTTGCCCTATCCACACCCAGGCGATGTGGGATTGTGCACCTGTAGCTCGCCCAGTGTGATAGCCTACTGGTGTTATCTACACACGCTCACACATACCCGCACACAAGGTCTCCGCACACAAGGTCTCCACAATCACCCTCCTTTGGGGCCTAACGTACTCGTTGGCCACACTTTCGGGTGGGCCAGACTCTGATACCATTTGTAACAACCCTCACCTTATTCAGATACAATATTATCCGCTTTTGGCTCCCCTGGACTAGAGACATCTCAAGGGGTCACCCATCTTGGTACTACTCCAGGTTAAGTATGCTTAACTCTGGAGTTCTGGTGGGTTCACAACCATCACGTTGTGTCATAGAAGGGTGTTGCATCTATATATAGCACTTGCCCATCCACACCCATGCGATGTGGGATTGTGCACCTGTAGCTCGCCTAGTGTGGTAGCCTACTGGTGCCACCTACACACGCTCACACACACCCGCCCACAAGGTTGCCACATAAACGATGGAGGCTACTTACTTATTGAGGAGACTAATGGAAAGATATAGAGAGAAGAAGAGTGATCTTCGTATGGTTATTATTGATTTGGAGAAAGCTTATGATAGGATACCAGACCTAATATGGAGAGTTTTAGAAAGGAAAGGAGTCACAAAGGGTTACATTGACTCAATAAAGGTCATGCATGATGGTTGTGCGACTATAGTTAGAACGTCTGTAGAGGAAACAAGTGAATTCTCAATTATTGTAGGTGTAAACACCAAGGGTTAAGTCCATACATTTTTGCCTTGGTAATGGATGAGCTGACAAGACTCATCTAAGATGAGATCCCGTGGTATATGTTATCTGTGGATGATATTGTTTTAGTTGATTAGACTAGAGAAGGAGTTAATGCCAAATTGGCGGTTTGGAGAGAATCTCTATAATTAAAAGGGTTTAAGATAATTCGAAATAAAACTGAATCTAGAAAGACAAATGAGGATGTAGTGTGGATTGAGAATCAAGAGGTACAAAAAAGTGAACATTTTCGTTATTTAGGCTCAATTATTCATAATGAGAGAGAAAATGGAGATGATGTTAACCATATAATCAAGGTAGGAGCCGCATGATGCATCAAATGGAGGAGTGCATCTAGTATATTGTGTGATAGGCTTATTCCCTTACGACTGAAAAGGGAGGTCTATTGAACAACTATTAGACCAACCATACTGTTATGACAAAAGTCGTAAAAGGGAGGTCTATTGAACAACTATTAGACCAACCATACTGTTATGACAAACGCAACGAACCCAAGATAAAACCAAGAATCACGACAGAAAAGTAAACACACCAAACAAAGAACACAAAGATTTAGACGTGGTTCGGCAACAACCTATGTCCATGGTTGGGATCCGGCGAAAGTTTTCACTATATGTAAAATCGGAGATTACACGTTTCAGTCCCTCACTCTGTTTCTGTACAAATTTCAGAGTCTTTCTTACACCACTCCAAACCCTAAGCACCCTTATATATCGGGCTATAAGAGACTAATTAGGGTCCACGTCCCATGAGCAAAAATGGGTCAAAATTTTTTTCCATCCAATGGGTTGTCGGGTCATGAGCGGGTTGTAATACGACCCGACACCAAATTCGGTCCACAACATCACACATACTTTATGGTATCGAATGTTGGGCAGCTAGGAAACAATATTTGCATAAAAGTGAGTGTGGTAGAAATGATAAAATTAAAAATATTCACATTTGGGAGATTGTTGGAGTAGCACCAATTGGAGATATAATGGGAGAAAATCAGTTAAGATGGTTTTGACACGTTACAACCCTCACCCTACCCGACACAATATTGTTTGCTTTTGGCTTCCCCAGATCAGACTTCTCAGGAGGTCACTCATCTTGGTACTACTCCTGCATAAGCACACTTAATTTCAGAGTTCTGATGGGTTCACGGCATAGTTGTTAAAGGCGCGCCTAAGGCTCGAGGCACCTTTTGCGCCTGGGCATAGCTTCAATAAGGTGCGCGCCTTTGATGCAGGTGCACCAAGCGCAAGGCGCAACAATATTGCCTTCTTTTTTGTGTACTTTCTTCCTTCTGTTATATCACTATTATCATTGAAAAATTGGAAGCCACTGATTAATTAAGTGAGTATATATGATGCATGGTTGTTGAGAGGCTTAAGATATTATTTATTTGCAGTCTTTCGTTATAACTTCAGACACTCAATTTTTATCTTGGGTAGTGAGTGGACAATAATTACTCCATGGGCTTATAGATCAAATAAGCGGTGATTATCCCTTTTGTTCGGAAGTTAGATTTATGTATGGATTTTTAGGTAATTAAAAAAAAAAATTGCATAATTTACCCATTGTCTAAATGTCAGGGGTGGTAACGGGTCTCTTAGGGTCGGATTGGTAGGTTTGTGTTATAAAATTGTTTCATCATCAGGTTCGTGTGGGTTTTCAACAGTTTTTCACTCTTAACCGGGGCATGTTTGTATAAGGTCTGCTCTGGAATTTCACCCCCACGTATTTGCTTAGCTTTTATCCATTGGAGGGCATGGTTTCCAAAGTAGTGTCAAAATGAAATAGATCAACAAGCTTAACGGAATTTTGAAAAGTCAAAATTTATACTTATAGATATATGTGTATGATTATTGGCTTTCTAAATTACAGAAGCCTAGATCCATGACTGTGCTTATATCACATGTGTGTACTTTATTTAAACTTTAATAGTTTCATTCATACGTTGATTTAGTTAGTTTTTGCTTAGTGTGTCTGTCTATGTATGCTTATTGCTTTGTGTAGATGTTGGAAGGTTTCATTACCATGGTTTTGCTTTTCAGAGTGCTATCCCTCAAAAGGAGAGTGAGGTGAATTTGACCCTTGGTGGTATTGACCTCAACAATTCAGGCAGGTTGGCTTTCTTCTATGAATTTCACATTTTCCTATTATAATGATATTCTGCACACAGTTGCTATTGTGTCGGTTTTGGGGGGATCTTCACTTACCTCTTGATGTTTGTTTGTTTGTTTTTTTTTTTTTCTACGAGGAATTCTCAGTGTGGATGTAAAAGCAGATAAAAAACTCTTGACCGTGCTCTTTCCTGATGGTCGTGATGGGCGGGCTTTCACACTTAAGGTGCCATATTTTTTTGTCCATTTCTAATGTTGCCTTTAGCAAAATGTTTGAAAACTGATTTTCCTGTTTTTTTACTCATTGGCCAGTTGGCTTTCATAGTGTTAAGTGTGCTTTCTTTATTATCATCTTTTCATTCCAGCTGCTCACAGAATAAAAATATCCCTTTATGTTTTTAAAATTCAAGTGTGCGACCATCACTATTTTAGTATTTTTATGGTGGTTAACACATTTTGATAATTTTATTTGATTTTTAAATTTTGTACCTCAAATCTATGTGGGGTTCCTGTTGTAAATCTTGACAAGAATATAAGATACTTAAGGTGTGCAAATTGCTCATGCCAACAGACCACTTCCAAAGTTTCTTTTCTGCTTGGGAAACAATTATTAAATGAGTGCATTCATGAGCAATTGAATGGCATAGACAGATGCTTTTGGTAGAATGGAAGGACAAAACAAGATTGTGCTTTCAACCTTAGTCTATAGTTAGGTGTTCTCTTTCTCTCTCTCTTTTTGTTTGGCGGCAGCCACCCGCAGGTGGGGGGCAGGCATGTGGAGGATGGTTTTTCCAAGTATTAGTTCATTTTTTCCGCTTCTTTTTCCGAGAAGGGGCCATTAAGTTCAGAGTGAGACTGTCAAGTCGGAATATGAGAACAATCATTTTGAGCAAATAGTATGAAAGGTCATATTCAAATCTACCCCTCATAGTGCCCTTGATTAACAAGGGGCAACATTGGTAATAGCCTTTAGATCTTATTTCTTTTGGAATTATTGCTGAAAATTTGAAGCAGATCAGTGCCAACAAAATATATTCGCTCATAAGGGAAAGAATGTTTTTGAAAAAATATATAGGAGAATAAATATACGTCAGAAAATAGTAATGTTTAGTTAACTTATTGAATCTGACCTGATAATGACTCAAACTAGAGCTTCTTGGGCTCGTTAGTGGTCAAGCCAATGAGTTAATGAGTGCAACAAAGTTATCAGGGTTTTCTCGACCGTCTTGGCTTGTTTATTCTATTAGAGCTGCTTGGATAATTATGATTAATCTTGGTTGAGCTTCCTTAGACTGAAACAAAGTTAACTATGAAAGTATAATGTTTTCATGCAGTCTCTTATCTGTAGATATTATAACGACTTACATAGGGGCTGTTTGGCAACAGTTTATGTTGTGTTTTTGATTTTATATGAAGCAGAAGCAATGTTTTGCTGTGCTGTGATTTATTCTGAAACAGAATTGTGTTTGTTAACTATAGGACTCCTTACTAATTGGAATCGCTTTCTGCTTTGCAGTCACCTGAAAGCAAAATTAGTGAGTTTGATTCTTAGAGTTGAAACAAAAAGCAAAATCACGTTCAGTAATACCTATTCTTATCAGAAATTTGAATGCAAAAAATAGAATGTGTGCTTAATCACAAATTTTCAAAGAATTTTTTATTTTTTAAATGATTCTAAAATAATATGGTTTTTACATTATATTGGCTTTTTAAATTTTTTTTTGCCACTACAGTTGTTCAACTATAGTAGTAAAAACAATTGGTTTTTATTTTTATTTTTTATTCTTATTCTTATTATATTATTTATTTTTTGCTTCTAGATTTGGGCCTTTTTTTCTGAAGTAAATTTGGTAATGCACAAAATGTAACACATGTTACCAAACATGCTTTTTCCACTTGTTAATGTTTTTCTCCAATTTGGTAACAAAAGCATGAAACAAAAACGGTTGCCACAGAGAGTGCTTTTTTGCTTCCTCCTTTCTCTATTTCTCTTTCTCTCTCTCTCTCTATATATATGTTGAAGGGGTAGGTAATGGGCTGTGAATTTTCCTGGCTTGAGGGTTGGTGGTCTAGGCCGATTGGACTTAATTACTGCTTAAGGTTGGCTACTTTTGTGGCATAATTGGGATGTTTTTAAATTTCACTATAATTTGACTAATTTAAACTAATTTTTGAGCTATTGTTGAGCTTATTTTGTGCTAAATACAGCTGAATCAATATTATAACTATTTAGTATTTAAGTTACTACATAATTATTTATATATCTCCTTATTAATTTTTAAATAATAGCTTGTTACTTAATTATTTTTAAGTTATAGTTAAATATTAATTAGTAAGTAATTACTCTTTCTGTCCCCATTTAATTGTCCACCTTTCCTTTTTTGGCTATCCCAAAATAATTGTCCCATTTGAAAAGTCAGAATATAAATCCATTTTTCCATCAATAACCTTTAAATTTTAAAAAATTTCCTACTTTATAACATGCTCATTCAAACTTAAAAGGACAACCTAGTAATTTTAAATGGGGACAATACATTAATTGCATGTTCCCTTATAAAGTTCTACTCCCCAAAAGGGACTTTATGGGACAAAGGGAGTACTTGGTAAGATAAATATATAAATTATTAATATATGAGGTATAGTATTAAAGTATACAAGTTATTTAGTAATATAACTTATATAAGTGTATTTTGTTTAAGTTCTTCCTGAGCAAGTATTTGCTTTTTCAATTGATATGGAATGAGACTTTGAATCAAAGAACGATCATTAATGTAAAGTATATTGTCTCCTGCTTAGACTGAAAAATCCAAAAGAAATTGTTATATCCTCTATTTAAAGGAGAGAAATGTACTTATTTTTATGAAATTCTGGGCTTCCGTACTGGGCCAAGCCTTCCTCTTGTGGGCCTAGGGGGGTGGGCTTAAATCCCAAGCACAGCCCCTCCACATAATGAGCTGCTTGTTCCACCATTGGGCTTGGGCTGAGCGGAGCAGCAACCGGGCTTTTAACAATATGATGTAGCGAGAAAGGTTACTTAAAGTTTATAGATATAGAGTGTGTCAATTGAATGTTAAAGATTGATGGCTTCTTAATGAATAATGATTTTTCAGATATATAAATTTCAATTAGGATTTTAGAAGTAAACACATTCTTGAGATTGTTGAAGGAGTACCAACTGGAGATAAAATGAGAGAGAACTGATTAAGATGGTTTGGTTATGTGCAATGACAGGCAATAGCTACACTGGTTAGGAATAGTTAGGATAAGTTACATGATCCTATGTATGGTAATGGTACTGGAAGAGGAAGACAAAAACTAACATGGGTTTAGATACTTAGGAAAGATATGAAAGCATGTGGTTTAACTAAGACTATGGCCTTAGATTGGAGTACTGAAATAGGATTCATGTATTCATCCCCAGATAGTTGGGAAAGGGCTTTTTTGAGTTGAATTGAGCTGAGTTGTGTATATAGTTGCCTCCTGCCATATAACTGTATCCATCTTGGTTCTGTATAGTTGTAGGTCTTGGTGGGAAAATGATAAACATATAGATTTGCAACCTTTTAGACATAACCTGGTTGCAGTATTCTGGCATACGTAGATGATAGAAACAATTGCTTTTTGGGAAAAATAGTGACAATTCAGTGGAGTTTGAGATGCTTTAGTTTAGCAGGCAACTTATTGGGAAGAAGAATAATCTTGTTGAAATTGGAAAGACTTGGTACAATTGTAAGAATAAGAGTCTTGGGGCCATAATATTTGAGAATAGAGACTCATAGAAGAAAGCACACTTTTGCATCTTGGTGATAGATTGGTTGATAGTTGTTTTATTCAAGAGGGATAAGCATTGAGAAGAAATTGGGGAAACTAGGTGAAATCAAATACTGTTGGAGCAGAGTAAATGCAAAGGAGATTGTGGCGGTGAAGTGAGTTTTTATTTATTTATTTTTTTAATTAATGATCCTGTTCGTCATTCATCATCATCACTACCACCACCGTCACTGTCATAATCATGATTGAGGCTATAGTATTTTTATTCAAGCTGTCCAACTGCTGCTGTGATGCACTCATTAGCTTTTGATCTGCAGGCTGAAACTTTGGAGGATTTGTTTGAGTGGAAAACTGCACTTGAGGAAGCTTTGGCACAAGCACCAAGCACCGCTCTTGTGATGGGGCAAACTGCCATATTAAAGAATGATAAAACTGACACAGCTGATGATTCTTCTGAACAGTGTATGCTCCTTGTTAATATGGCCATTTTTCACATTTATCATTTGATTTAGCTCCTATCTTTGGTTCGCATGCAGTAGATTTGTTGCGTCTGAACTCCTTGATGATTTGTAAAAGTGGTTTGTTGGCATAATCAATGTAAACACAATAATAATTAATCCCTTAATTTTCATGAGTATGCAACATTTATGGCTCATCTACTCTCATATGGTTGAGTATGCTTGGAGCTTGACCTTTTTTGGGGTTTAAAGGGTAGGGGTGAGAAGCTTGACTTCGTTTCAACTCTGTTCTGGTGTAGAATTGTTTGAAAGAATATTTATGACAGTTGTGAAGGTTTTTTCATGGACTTGAAATTGGGATGAGTTTTTCTGATGTGGATGTGTCCTTGGATAGAAACCTGGATAGTTGCTTGATTTGCAATTGTGCTTTGCTTTGTCAAGGAACTGACGTATATCTTTTTTTCTAATTCTCAACAGTGAAGGATAAACAGTCGGTGAAACCCTTGGTGATTGGTAGGCCAATTTTACTTGCTTTGGAAGATATAGATGGAACTCCATCGTTCTTGGAGAAAGCCCTTAGGTTTACAGAAGTGCATGGTGAGATTCTCTTTCTACTGACATTAAAGGTTACACGCTTTTGAAGTTTCAACTTCTTAATTTACTTTACCTTAGAGTAAAAAAAAAAGAAGAAGCAGATGCAGTTCTTAATTCTGTAAACTGGATTGCTTTATTACACACAATCTCTTGTGAATTAAATGATTTTCTAACTTTTTTTTTATTAATATTCAGATCTCATATTGTAGTGAATTGTATTAGTACTTTGTCTAGCGGACAGGCTTTAGCCTTGCAATATAAATACCATTCCAAGGTCTCAAGCGCTGTTTCTTTAAATTGATGACTGGATATATTACTGTATAAGGCATGGGAACAAAATAGTTTGTATGCAATACTTTATTTTATTATGACTTTATTGGAAGCTATGCTTTTCATTGCTTGGTGCAATGGTAAATGCTGAGTTTGAGGAGTCTCAGGAGCAGCCAATTTCTGCATGTTAATGGCAAAAGTTAGTATTGTCTCCTGTCCTCCCCTTCTAGCACCCAGTGTAATACCAGATGAATTTGGAAGGTGTGTTAGGAAGTCATTGATGGAGATAGTATCTTGATCTATTTGGTCGATTTGCTTGCCAGTTACTGATAAGTCAATACACATGCTTACCAATAAGTTAATACACATGATAAATCAACCGTGGTGGAATTTTGAATTAATATTTTTTCTAGTGTATTAATGATCTTTGTATGGCTTATTATGGCCCATTAGAGTTAATTGTAGAACCTGTATTAGGCCTTGTTTTGTTTTCTTCCTTCCCCACAATTTCTTAAAGGTAAAATTTCCACCAAAGACTGTCACAAGTGTCTGCAACCAATTATAAGTCCTTCCCTTTATACTTTTCAAATAGATATATCTATTTTTATGTATGTCTATTTTTCTTAGCATTTGGCAATAATGTTGCAGGAGTCAAAGTAGAAGGGGTCTTGCGGCAAGCTGCAGATGTTGATGATGTTGAACGTCGAGTTCGAGAATATGAACAGGGTTTGTTTGCTTGGACCCACTTGTTTTTGTGATTGACATTTTCCTTTATGTTTATCATTAGTTACAACTTCTTTTACTCACCGGAAATTAAGTTACCCTTTTCATTTTAAAATATGAGTTCATTTTTAAAAATGAAATGATAAAAGCATCCAAAGATGGGGGCCATTTTCTTGGTTGTTTCAGCTATTTATAGATCCTAGTTTTTGCAAATCTAGAATACTACTTTTAATGTTATTATTTTTCATGAAAATTCTTGAAAAATAGTTTTTTAAGCACATCAAAAAAATTTATCTGCATGGTTTTCATGTTTCCATTTTAAAATTCAGAATACTTCTTGGATGATAATGTTCAATGGGCCTTTAGTGTCTCTTCCTTTTGCTTTTGCTTAAGTGGTGTTCTCATGTAGGGGCTGAAATATGGATCATCATTAAATGGGTTCAATCAATGAATGTTTTTTGTTTCATGAAACTTCAAAGATAAACTTTACCGCAACATGTTCATAATTATAGATTGACAAAAGAACTAATAGTACACAACTCAACAAAGTCTTTTCCCAACTATTTAGAGTTGGCTAAATGAATCTTGTGTTGCCATTTGCTCCACATAATACTATAACCTCAGTTAAGACACATTTTATAGTTATCTCAGTTCATGTAAGTTTTGTTCTTCCCCTAGCACTATCATTAGTAAGGATTAAGCACCATGCCACTTTTGTCAACAGGTGCCGCTACTGATTGCTGATGCATATAGACAAACCATTTTCTCACATTTTATCTCTGATTGGTGCTACTTCAACTATCTCATGGAAGTGTTGATTTCTAATTTTATCTTTTTATTGGTTCTTGCCACAAATTTTTTTTTTTTTTTTTTTTCCTAGTTGGTACTCACACAAACTTGTCTCTTATGAGACTTGAACCCCTGACCTCCCTCTGGGAAGTAAGAGACTAAGACCGCTAGGCCACTGGCCGTTGGTAATCTTGCCACATAAAAACCTCAACATTAGCATTTCTTCTATACTCATTCTGTGAATATGTTGTGATACTTGTAAAGTTAGCTGGTCTAATGGCTGTTTTGTGAAATTTACCTTTCAAATTTGAGAGGTATATGCTGAGCATATAATATGCCAGAAGAATTCCTCTAATTCGAATTGATATCATTAACAACTAAAGTTAGGTCATGTTTGATAAAATCGAAATTAAGTATTGAAAAAATTCAAGAGCTGTGTTTTAAGTGCTGAAGTTATATCACCATTTCCCTCTCTTACCCACGACCGCGCACACACAAATGCCCACATGCACATGGACTGGATGGCTTAAGTTACTTGAAGTAATATCATGCACAAGGTTAGCGTCTTCAAGCAAAAAGGCATGCCCTTTTAATTAATTTAAAGTACTTTCTATTTGTTGTTTCCTCCAAAAAAGTAGTATTGCATGATGCAATTGTAAAAGGTCCAGTGGACAAGCATGGAGCTTTGCTACATGGACTGAGTTATTTGTATTGGTTGTGGGTGTGTGTCTAAGTATCGGACATCCCTGATTCTCAAATCTTTGGAGACTTGGTGTGAATTGTGTGATCAAAACTTCGATATGGCTATGTAGACACATCTTTCACATTTAAATACTGGTGAGGATCTCTGTGTCTAGTTTGGTTATGTGGATCAGACACATCCCATACCAATATCCATGTCGTGTCATGTGGACTGGGACACGGATACATTGAGGGGGAATAGGAGAGTCCATGTAACATAGGCATAGGGATGCAACTTTGAATCTTAGAGCATCTATTTATACAAAGTAATGCCAAAGATTATGTATATCTCCAGTTTTTCCCTCCTAACATCCATATTGCCAAGATCAACATTGGGGTGATGGGAATTTTGTTTACTTTCTTCTCTTTTTCTTTTTTAAAACTTTCCCATCATTTTTTAAAATTGAAGATTGAAACAAACATCCTTTAATTTTTAAACAATTTAGAGGGGTTAAATAATATAAATTTGACCTCACTTAATGCTGTGGGTGGCTTTTCTGCAGTTGATGACTCGAGGGTTGTGATTAATGAGTATAATAATTAATTAGTTTTTTTTTTTGTTAGAATACTGTCATACCCATGAATGAAGTTTATTATCTTGTATATATGTGTACATAAACTTTTACCGATAACTGGAATCAGGATACTTTTGGAAAGAACATAATCAAATGGTCAAACACGGAATAATATCATCTGATTGAGTATTGTAGATTAGGAAGCTGATTTGTTTGGTGGTGTCTTGTAAGAGATGTTATATGTTTTCAGTTAATCCACCACGTTTTTCTTAATTTCTTATTTCAATCATGCTCTATAATGTAGGAAAATGTGAGTTTTCTCCACAGGAGGATGCACATGTTATTGCTGATTGTGTCAAGGTATCATTTTTGGTTGAAACAAAATATGTAACTATTTTCGTAGTTTACAACACATCTGGAACCTGTGTTATCTTTATTTATTGTTTTCTTTATTGCACTGTTCCAGTATGTTATCCGCGAGTTACCATCATCTCCAGTTCCTGCATCTTGCTGCAATGCTCTAGTGGAAGCATGTCGTAAGTTTATTTTAACAGTATCTGTTTTAATAGTTCTATTTTTTTTGCTGCTTCCTGAGACACTTGTAATAATGAAAAAAAAAACAAAACCATTACATATTTTGTTGGATGAATCTCATTTGATAGTTTGATGAGTGCATTGAAGATATTATTTGTATTCATCCAGTATATTTAATTTTTTTCATCTCAAGGATCCTTCTGCTACCGATTATGTAATTTTCTTCATGCTGTAAAACCTGACCTACCATTTAGTTATCAAGAACAAAAAAATCTGTCCTACCATTAAAATTAAAATGCAACTTTAACCAAAATCTTTCTTTTTTTTGAGATTTAATGAGATGCAAGCTGTTCAGGAAAACTTGAGGGCTTCAGTGAAAGTATATTGAACAAAATAAAAAATTACTGAAAAGATCACCATCGCTCATTCCATCTGGTCATAAATTTGGATGTATACCACAAAAAACATCTCCTGGCGTTAAATTTTTGTTTTAGTTGACAGAGGAATGTAAAAGAAAAAAAATGATAAAAAGTCCATGCAACTATGTAAATAAATGTATGTATACCACTAAAAACCATCCTGTACGTTCTTCTTTTTTGCTGGGAAGTTGAACAAATTTCAATAGACACAATCGTTATGTACAACCTTGGGCATGTATGTGTTTATATGCATTCTTGGAACTTTGTAGATTTATGTTTTTATTCTCTAGAATGACACGTGGTATTATTGTTTTAGAAACACGTTTGAATCCCTCCCTAGTTACCAATTATAAGTGTAAGAAGTTTGAAATCTTGAGCACCTACAGGTCAATTCTAGGACTTCTCTCTTAAGCCTGTCTTGCTTCTAGAATTTCAAGCATCATACATTACCCAATGAACAAGGAAGGATTTAGCTTTAGCAGGGCAGTGATGAAGGGCAAAGAATGCGTCAGCGTAATGATTTATTTGGGAATTCTTTTTAGTGGGAGGAGAGGACAACCTTACACAATAAGTTATATATATATATATATATATATATATATATATATATATTTTTATAGCTGGATGAAGTTTGAATTTAATGGAAGCACAGTGGGCATGTTGTAAGATTGCTTGCAAGCTGAACACTTACTGTTTACAGGGAATCCATTGAAGTGGAGTATACTAAATGGAGCCTAAGTTGATGTTATCTTACAAGTTTAGTGAACTTTGAAATAAAATTTTGGTAGTTTGGATTGTCAATTGCATCAGAAAAGGATATATCGAGAACTTGCCAATGAAACAAAAAATATATATCTAGTACTGGCTTAGCTAAATTTCATGAACTCTTCCAATAAGTACCAATGGCCATTTTCCAAAAGAGGGATCAACTAAAGTTTTTTTAGCCCTCTAAATTTTTCTATAATGGTAGATTAAAATTCTTTATAACTTACGTAGGCCTGTAGGCTAGTGGTACTTCCTCACCTTCCAAAGTAGAAGGTCAAAGATTCAAAACCCTATAGGGGCAAAGTGGGTGTGTGAGTTTCAACTAGGAAAGAAAAGAAATTCTTTATGACATCTACATTTAATATGAAAGGAAAATAGGATACCGAGTATTTGGAAAAAGTATATGTGGGAAATTTCCAAACTACGGAGAAGTCCTAGTTAAAGTCACTAATATGCTAGGTGCTAGAAACCAAAAATGATAAAAAGAAAACCAAATAATTTAAGAAAACAAGTCAAAAAATGAGAATAATTTCTATAAAAAAGTCATTTTTTAAATAAATAATTATGTAGAGAGCATTTCATAAATAGCATATAACTTTATATATGCATCATTTGAGAAATGAACATCACACAACATGCTTGACCATAGACAAAATCTTCATTGAGTTGCTTGTAACTTTAAATATCTTCACTACTCATGTATAACTGCATGTTCAACTCAGTGTGCATGCATGATAGCTTTGTCAAAAGTAAAAATGATAATATTGTTGAATCATTTGAAACTCCTAAGTTGAAATAATTTGTAACATCATTTGTTTTAATATAAGCTATATGACATAAGTTGGTTCCTTCATTTTTTACATTTAAATGATACTTACTTGAGACAAAAAAATGGCATCATATTTTGTCAGCGCTAAGTTCTAAGGCTGAACTTCAGCTGAATATGAATATAAAAGGCCATTACTTAATGTGGTTGATGAGGGACTTTAAAGGAAGCCCCAAATAGCTGAAAGTTGAAGGATTTAGAAAGAAAATTAAGAATATATAGTACTGGAGTTTACAGTAAGATTGTGGATATGCACGGTGATGTAGGACAAGAGCAACCTCGAATAATTGAAATTAATTGGAGTTATTGGCTGAAAATTCAGATAAATAGAGCTATGGTTCAAGATGTGTTAGTAGAGAAAAAGATTGGAATCAAGAAAAGGATTGGAGTTATTGGCTGAAAATTCAGATAAATAGAGCTATGGTTCAAGATGTGTTAGTAGAGAAAAAGATTGGAATCACACCAACAGGTCTAGGCATCACATCTAGAGAAGGCCTCACACCTTCATATATTGTGAATCACTCACCAAGAAATTTCATATAACATTTTTATTCATTCATTCATTGAGTCACCAAGTTTACATCCTGTCCTTTTTATAGCGTTCTTAGTACTGTAACTCATGTCTCTTGGATTACCCCATAATTGGGGAAGTCAATACTTGACTCTTGGATTACCCCATAATTGAGGTTATTAATATTTGACTCTTGGATTACCCTGTAATTGAGGTAAGCAATACTTGACTCTATAGCATAATAAAAGTAATCAATACTGACTGATGCAATTTGACCACAATTGATGCAATTTACCATAACTATGCAATTTGACCAAACCCCCCAAGTATTCAAGACTCCAAGTGGACCCCACATCATCTAGCACATGCCAATTTTAGGCTCAAGCCTTAGAACCCTCCTTCCCACGCCTTTTATACACTTTTAAAGGCTGGTGCCACTCATCTGTATCATAGGGACTCAAATTTGAAGAGAAAGGTGCTGATTGATAAAACTGAAAATTAGTTTAAAAAAAATTCAAGAGCTGAATTTTAGGTGCCGAAGTTTTTAAGTTATGATTGAAAATAAAGTTTTTATTTTTTGTTTTTTAAATATATATCTTTTTGAATTTTATGCGTTCAAGATTCAGTGACAAGTGAACTCCTGTCACTTAATATTTTACCCAGTATAAGTGGCACTTACCTTTTTTAAGTGATATTCCAATTCGTTATCAAATGCACCTGACTGGATAACCACTTAATCCGTTCAAAAATAAGTGCTGAATTGGGTTATCAAACAACACCAAAGAATGAGGAACGAGAGTAAACTGCTGGAGTTACTAGGCCTAGGCATCACATCTAGAGAAAGTCTCACACCCACAAAATTTGTGAATCACAAGAATTTCCATCCGACAGCTGTTCATTGAATTATTTAATCTGACAAATATTATACCCCCTTTGTTTATATAGTAGTTTCTAGGATCACACTTAAAGAAGGTCACACTCTCATAATTTGTGAATCATCGCAAGAAAATTTCATCATAAAATTGCTCATCCAATCATTGATACCAACATTTCGTTATAGTTGTTTCTGCTCATAAATCATAACATGACTCTAAGATTTACATTATAGTGGAAAAATAGTTCTACTCATAACTATGACCTTTAGACTTGAATCATAATGGAGGTAATCCATAAAATTCACAACTCTTAAACTTTTTAACTAATTACTTTTAGAACCATAACTTAAATAACATTAATAAATTGCACATAAATACTCTAGGATGATAGCTTTAATTGCCTACAAAACTCATTTAAATGATGCATCTTGACCAAAACCCCAATTATGCAAGTCTCCAAGTAAACCCTACATCATCTAGGATATGCCAAATCAGGGCTTGGGTCCTGGAATCCTTATTTCCATGGCTTCTAGTATGGGTTTAAGAACTGTCCTTTCAATGCCTTGTATACACCTTTCAAGGTTGCTGCCACTGATCTCCATCAGTGGTTTGCATTAATTGAGAGTGTTGGTAGGGGTGGATCTGGTAGAGAACTAGACTTTTACATTATTTACAGAAAGGCCCTCAGGCTCAAACCATATCCTCATGCTTGACTAGCCTGAGCTTTAACCTCTACATCAAGCGAAGTCAGCTGAATATGGCATTCTTAACATTGTGTGAAGTATGCTGGATAAAGTTTTTGTTAAACTTCACTTTTTCATTTTAATTCATTAGGTGAGAAGAAAAGAATTCTCCCCATTTTTGGAGACAAAAGTAATATCCAAGTATCAAAATTAAGCTGTTTATGACATTTCTTTCTCATAACCATGTGAAATATGTGAATTTATTTTTTTTATGATCATTACTTGAGTCTTGAGATATACAATTAATGAGTTGATATAGGTATAGTCGGTAAATTAGTGAAAAACAAAGGAGCACTTGCTATCTTGTGTGCTTGTTCTCAGCTTCACCTCTTTTCAATCAAATTGATGTAGCAAATTTTCATTGTTTATACGGTACTATAACAACTGGTCAAAGTCTCAAAGCCTGTACCTCGGATTTTGAATGAACAAGCTGACCATGGAAGATAAGAATAATGAAATTAAAAATTCATTATCACTTCTTCACCATTGGAAATTTTGAGGGATTAATTTAGAACTTGTTTGCTTGGAAAATGTAGTACTTACTGAAAAATTAATGCAACAAAGTGATATAACAACCATTTTGGGCCTACTATGTGAATCCTAGTTTTCTAATCTTCTATATATAGTGTCACTTCTACTGCTGATGGAGAGACAAACATACATCAGAATTTCTTAAAAATAATAAACCAATATTTCTTTTGAGCTTCCACTTGTTCTTCTAGAGCCTTCAACCAGGAACCATGTAATTTACCTACTGGGGCTGTTACTTGTCTCTGTTGCACAATAATTAAAGCACTCAAGCTTTTTTTCTTTGGTCCTTACTCGATCCTCTTCCGTTTACTAGTGCTTCCTGTATTTTTAAGTTCTTTCATTTCTTATTACATTATTTTTTGTTTTCCATGTTACTTCCTCTACCCCAGTTCTGTTGATTTGACAAGCATATTTGTAATATTGGTCAAAATTTACATCAATTGTTACTTTGGTTATGCTTGTTTGCAATTGGATCATATTACTCTCAAGCCTTAATGATGAAGATCAAGGTGCAACTGAAGATCTAAAACCACATATGACCCGTACTAATCATTGGAGAAGCGGAAAAGAAAGATAGAATTAGGGATATTAATAAATTAGGGGTTTTATTTATGCTTATGGTTATTTTTAATAATGTTTTAATTTTAGGGGCATTTTAGTACTTTATTGTTTTAGGGTTTGTTTATGTTTTGCCTATATAAAGGCTTTAAATGTTATCAGACAAATCAGTTTTGAGAAATTGAATATTATCATTGAGTTTGCGAACTACCTTTGTGTCTCTTCTCCCTGTTGTTCTTGCTGTTCTTAATCCCCCTGTCTATCTATCCTACCTTCTTCAATCTGCTTCTCACCCCTATTTGTCTGTCTTCTCTTCTCCCTGTTGTAATGTTACATTTGATTTTGTACTATATGTCTTGTGTTCTTTGAAAACTATGGTTTTCTTGTTTTTTCACTATCAGATAATTTTATTGTCGATTAGGAACTGATCGAGGCATGAGAGTCACTGCTATGCGTTCTGCTATATGCGAAACATTCCCCGAACCAAATCGTCGCTTATTACAGAGGTACCAGAGAGCATGACTTCATTCCTTTTTCCTTGTTACACCAGAATTTGATCATTTTTTGTTTGTAGTAGATTTGTTTACAGTATACCATTTTTTTTTTGTAATTTCCTTTTTGTTCTTGTTCAAATATAGCATTCTTTATTTCTTTTTATTATTATTTTTTATTCTGGCCAAGCATGGACTAATGCTCCAATTCTCTACTATTTGATATTTCTATATATAATTTTTACATTTTTTTTGCCTTTTCCTTTTCTTTAATGGCTCTTATTGGAACAACTGGAGCTCCAAGGTTATCTTCAGGTTTTGTTTTGGTTCCTTGGAATATTTTAAGCAATCTGAGAGGAAAGAGGAAGGATTTAATCTACGACCTTGGTTAGGGTTAGCTAGGATGTACAGGTATTGAACTAGAGTAATTATCACATAAGAAGTTTGAGAATCAAATCAGTCAAATTTCTCTTCCAACTGAGCTTGTGTTCCTTTCGATTTTTGACATCTACCCAGGGAATAATTTTAGTGAACTCATTTTAAAGTTGTAGTACTTTCTCTGAATGATTTTGGCTTCCAAGAAGCTTTCATTTGATAATTGAAATCCACCGACTTTCTCTTAGGCATTTTCCTCATGTGTGTGGTTTTTTAACTTTTCACTCCCTTTTCCTTTGTAAAGTGACCAACCATGTTTCCTTTTCTCTCTCTCTCTATATATGTATATATATATGTTCTTGATCTTTTTCTAGTGAAGAAGTTCTTTTGCTTATATTGAAGATTTCCCTAAATCTTCAATAGCTTAACTAACGTTTCATGGTTTAAATATGCTGCATTTATTTTTAATGAACCACTAATGGAATATTTGATTTTGTTTTTCATTGTTATCCCTTCTGTTATGTTATGACGTGAAATAGTGAAAGGATGGACATGTTGGGAGAAAAGAAAGAAAATCAGCAGTAAATATTTCAAACGCATCATCGCTAAGATAATCATATACTTGATCTATTTGTCTCTTTATACTTTAATAATTTTATGATTCATATTAATTTGAAAAAAAAAAAAAACCAATAAAATAATGTCTTGTGCCTTGAGGACTACACAGTGTTCATAAAGATTAAAATGGCTTGCCTGATCCTTTTGCTTCTGAAAACACTAGTCAAAAGTAAGCATTTAATTCTGTCCAAATCCAAGAAGTTCGGCCATTGTGAGTTCCAATTTTTCTAAGGATAAGTTATAACGAGACGCCAGAATGGCGAAAGTGAGGTGTTGAAGTAATCTACTGTTCGCAGATACTTTATTGGCTTTTTGGTTGTTGTTGTTGTTGCTTTTATATATATATTTTTAAGTTCCAATTTTTCTAAGGATAAGTTATGACAAGTCAGATGCCAGAATGGAGAAAGTGAGGTGTTGAAGTACTCTACTGTTCGCAGATACTTTATTGGCTTTTTGGTTGTTGTTGTTGTTGATGTTTTTGTTTGTTTGTTTGCTTGTTTGTTTTTTTTTGTTTTTTGTTTTATTTTTTTTTTTTCAAAATTGTTGTGCAACAATGGTTGTTTAATTATTTTCAACTTTGTTTTTTCTTAAGTTTTTATTGGTCAATGACTTTTGGCGAAATTAAGACATTTAGTTTTATTTTTCTTTAATTTTTTCTGGGAGAAGGGAGAATGAACTTTTTTAATTTAAAATCTATATGAAATCATTAAGAAACTATTTTGATTGTGATGGTGATCAAAAAAATAATCAGAACTTTTGGCCCATGCTTCCCAGAAAGAACAACGTAGGTTTGCCCCTGATCACTTTGACATGCCAAAACTATCATATTGTGGTGGTAAAGGCATCTGGAGGGCTGGCCGGATCTGGGTAGCAAACTCTTACTGCCAACGAAGAAACAAAAAACTCGCAGCAGCATGCGAACACAATAGGATTTTCGTTAAATTACGTTTTGGTTGCAGTGCAAGAAAAAGCAGTTTCATTTATTTGCTTAAAATTACCAATCTTTAAAGAGGGTTCTTATGGATGATTCTCCATGGAATAATTGTGCAGGATTGATCAATGGCTCCATGGTATAATTTAAATGCAATATATAGAATTAGCAACTTTTCTTCGTTTTTATTTTTCTTTTTATTTCTTCCCCCTCTTCCTCTCCAACGGAAAAAAGAAAGAAACTATAACAATTATAAGCAAGATGCTGGCTATGTTTCATGAATTATGATTAAAATTGAATTAGTATTCTTGTCTTGTATCAAGGCTCTGTTGGATTGGTGAAGCAGTGTTGGGCTAATATGCCCTATTTCGTTTAATTGAAGTTCTTGCTTACCCTGACTTTATTCGATACTTTTCTCATATTTATATACATTGCCTTTTTAATCTGTATCGTTTGTTCATATCGTTCAGAATTCTTTTGATGATGCAAACTGTAGCTTCTCACAAGGCTGAGAATCGAATGAGCTCTTCAGCTGTGGCAGCTTGCATGGCACCCTTGCTTCTTCGTCCCCTTCTGGCGGGTGACTGTGAGCTCGAAAATGACTTTAATGTGGGTGGTGATGGCTCTGTTCAACTTCTGCAAGCAGCTGCTGCAGCTAACCATGCCCAAGCCATTGTTGTAACTTTGCTTGAGGAGTATGATAACATATTTGGGGTATGCTTTTATTATTATTTATAAATTTAACTGCAGTTATTATTTTAAATTTTTTTCTTGTATAGCTATGAATACTCATATACAGGTACTTATGTATGTAAATGCATTCATATCCACATCTCTATAGCTCTAGGCTCCAAGGAACAGGATATGAGTCCAACTTGACCATGTTCTGGGAGCTCCTTTTGATTACTGATGAATATGTGACATAGTATATCCTATCATAACCTTACCTTCCCCTCTTTTCCCCTTAGTGGTATTGAGTTTCATTTCTAAATATTTTTATCACTTGAATACTTTATCACTTGACAATAAACAACCACAAAACAAGAAAAATCTTGTCAACTAGTCAAAGTGTCTCCTCAGACCATAACCAATCAACAATATCTCCTCAGACCATTCGCAAAACTTCCAAATACAGACTTTTTTTTAAGGAGCGCTGCTCACTTACATACAACTGGATAGCCTCATTCTTAATATCTGGAACCTCTTGGTAAACTTCCAATAATTTATCCAAGCCCATCTAGGTCTTGGAGACCAACTATACCAACCTACCCAACCCCCCTAGAAGAGTAAAAAAAAAACTTGTAAAAAACTTAGAAATACCTGATTTCGATAAAAAAAAAAAAACAGCTACTCGCATGACCATGTGCAGGCAGCGTCACCGGGTGTCGCAAACAGCTTAGGGTGGCTGTCACACAAGCCGCAAGGGCCCTTGCGCAGGCCATGTGGCCTAGGTGGCCTTGCGCTGGTCACAAAAAGGACTTAGGTGTCCTTCACATACGCTGCAAGGCTGCTAGAGGTTGTGAAAAGGTGATGGCTCTGATAGCAAGAAGAAATATAAGAGAAATATGTAATGGCTTGAATGAGAACAATCACTCATTCAAAGCTCTGGTATCTATATAAGCACATGTTAATTTTACAAGAAATGAAACTAATTAAAATCACTGCAGATTCTATGCCGAAACATATGCGTAAATTGAGTCAAATTTCATGATTCTATGCGATCATGTCTCAGCTAACACATAGCATAGTGGGTAGTCAACAAGCGATGACATGTTACATTTCTAGTTGAATTTATGTATGTGGATGCTTCGAGAGAGAGAGGTTTGGAGAGGATCCGTTTCCTCGACCAAATGACAGCATTAAGATGAATGGTTAGCATTAGAAGAAGAAAAGAAAAAAAAAAGAAAAAGAAAATCACATATGTAAGAACCAAAAGGTGGTAGTTACTTGTGATAAGATGAAGAAAGTTTCTTAAGATGGTTTACTTGGGTGTAACAAAGAGTAATTGATATATTAATACCAGGCAACAATTTTCCTCTAGTTGAAGGCAATATACAGCTAATTAGGATATATTCACAGGCGCAAATTGTTGATCAGAGTTTTAAAGTCTCGATTAAAGAGGGAATGATTATCTGGGGAACACTGACTGGGTGAAAGAATCACTTAAGATTGCTAACTGCAGTCACTCAATGCTACCAAGCAAAATGTTTGATCTGGAAGGGGGGAATCACTTCAATCCTAAGAAAGAATATTTTGACATAGCATATGATGTTAATATCACAAAAATTGGTTTAACTCATTTTAATTGATTATAGAGATTACATTAAGAGAAATTTGGGACAAGACTTGATATAAGACTGACAAATTCCAATGTAACAAAAATAAAAACCTAAGACAATGCCCCATCAAAGATAGCAACCTCTGGAAGTCAAAACATTTTTCTTTTGGTATCTTAGATAGAATTCAATTTGAAAAAAAAGAAAAAGAAAAAATAAACTTTGACCGTTGAATAAGTTAAAAAGAAAATAAAACATTTCCCACTTGGAATACTCTTTGGTCCACTATGTTACTACATCAGGGAGGCCAAAAGATGGGTTGAGAGATGAGAAAAGACGCTATTGTTATGAAAATAACAAAGGGAAATGGTTGGTAAGAAGGCTTTGTTGAGTTATGCTGAGTTTACCTTTATCATAATAGCAGAAAAATAAATTAATAGATATTGGGGTAGCGGTTCCCTTCTTCATAAGTTCATTGTCATTTATCTGCTGGATTTGAATCTAGATCAAATTTTATTCTCTTGAATTGATGCTATCCATTTGACATCTCAACAAATAACAAATTTTCTTTTAAATGGAATTTCTAGCATTCCCCATACATATAAAATTTCTTCCTGCATTCAAATAAATATTGATACCTTAACCAAATAAAAAATCTTGTATTGTAGGGGTTATGGTGAGGGGTTAGAGGCAAGCGTGGTGTAGTCGAAATTAGATCACAACACTAAGTGATAATATTGATGATTGTCAAAAAAAAAAGAAGAAAAAACGAAGAAGATAAAGTTACACATTTTTTATGAATTGATGGATCATGTCTTAAGGTTATGTAAAATCAAGTTATTGCAGTCTTTCTGTCTATATATTTCTATTATTGATAGCCCAAGTCCAACAATTTTTTTTTTTCTTTCAACTTTCTTCTTTGTTGGTTTGAGCTTAATTAACAAATATAAATGTTGGCAGGAGGGTTCCATGTCGCCCGAACCATACACTGACTCAGAAGTTAGTGGAAGTGAGAGTGAGGAGCTAAGTGATGATGATGAAACCTTCGAAGATGATGAAGCAATGGGGGGCTCTGATGCTTCTGTAGATGATGATCTTGAACATGCATCGAGGAGAACTTGCAACCAGGCTGGTCATGCTGGAGACGATGATATGCATGACAATAAGGTCGGTCCCTTACATCTCAAGTTTACCATCTATACCAAAAATAAAAATAAAAATGGCAACTAATCTGAACCAATGATGCCTAGCCTTCCCATATTCCTGATGCCAGTCTCTTGCAAATGCTTAAAAAGATACACGGTGATCTTGTATGCTAGGTTGTTGGAATAATATGGTAAATTGTGGTGTGACCGCTCTTTCGCATCGACTTATACCCACCATTTCATTTTTGTTAATAAATTCCAGTTATGCTGTTGAGTACAATATTCTTTTCTTATTTTGCTACATCTTGTCTGTGTGTCTTTTCTTCTGTGTTTGCAGCCTTCATTTTTTTGTGCTGTTTGTCCACTTGCAACATTATTTAAGGATGTGAAGAATTTCATTCCTTGACAACTCCACGACTCAACTCTTATATTTTACCATCCTAATGCTGAAATAAAACATGCTTGTGAAAACTTTAGGTCTTAGATCAATCTTTCTTCTATTCTTTTCTTTATGATTTTCCTCCAAATTTTGTGTCACTTACATCTTTCACATTCGATATGTGCTTCTATTTGTCCTCCTTCGTTTCAAATGAGAACAGCACCACCTTTCCAACATCGTGTCTGTGTTCCATCACACGGTTCATCTTGAGTATATCTTTGGTGGATGATTGTATTTGTTTAGTTTTTTTTATTGCTATTTCTTTCTCCATGGACACACACATACCCTATACTTACACTAGGAATTTTACAGATGCAGAGTTCTGACCCCGAAGAAAGAAGTAAATCTGCAACTATATCAAATGAACCTGAACATATAGTTAGGCGACCTGCCGCTTGGGGACGTTCCTCTGTGAGTTAACTATGCTCTCTATTCATGATGCTGTTTCATATTTTTGGGTCTTTTGCTAGTATTCATTCTTTAAATTTTATTCAATTCTTTTTTACTATATAATTAATTAGATGTAAGGTCTTTGTCTCACCAATTTAACTTTCCACAGCCCATTAATTTTGAACTTTCTCTGCTAGAATTTTTTACCTCATTGGTAAAGTAATATTTCTTTTTACACATTTGAGTCCAGGCAAAGAAGAATCTTTCTATGGAATCTGTTGACTCGACTGGGGATGAGTAAGTACTGCTTTATAACCCATTTAAAGCAAAATTTATGCATAGTTGTCTATAAAAAAATTTGTTGTCCTTGAATTTTGTCCAAGTGTAATTGAATGCAGTATAACTTGAGACTATCACTGCTATTACGGATTGATTGGACGATTTAACTGGTAATTGTACTTTTTGGAAAGAAGATTTATTTGTGTTATGGTACAGATTCAAGAGTTTAGGCAGATTTACATCATGTACCACTGCTACTGGCCTATATTATTTATATGACACAGGCACACCCACAACTTGAAAATCTCTGTATAATAATCTGTTACCAAGAATGTTGTAACCTGAACGGGACTGCTTGATGATTGTCACATGATTGTCATAATCTGCAAGGAATAATTTATACCTTTTTAAGAATTTTTTTTTTTTTTTTTGCTAAAACCTTGATCCATGTATATCCATGATTTCTGAATAGTCCTAAGCCCTGGGAAAGAGTGAAAGACTGCAAGAAAGCAGTTGTGAAGACTGAAGGTCTAGCAATTGTTAGCAACATCCCATAACAAACCTGCAATTAATTTTATGGAATTTTTTGAAATTCAAACTTTCAGATTTCCGCTTTTGTGGTCAAAATTGAAGAATTACTATTGACAGAAATTTGAAGCCTTGTCTTCACTTGTCTTTTTCAAATTTAGGAAATACTGCCTAGAGCCACTACTGCTCTCAAGGATGATGTAGTCTTCTTTGGTAATTTGTTTGTGTAATGCAGCCAAATGAGGTTCTGTTTTGAAAATCTGCTTGTCTGTTTATAGTACTTTGCTGCTTAATTCATGCTGTTTTCTTTCTTATCAAGTATGGCAAATATTCTTTTCCAGTTCAATAAGTAGTTTTCATATATTTGCATTGCCTGCTTGTAAAGTATAATTTGATGGTCATAAGCACAAATTTGAAGATGATTTTCTTGTGTATGGAGTTTATATACAGCCAACATTAAATCCCAAGATTAGGTTTGTATGTACCTTCTGAAAGCTTCAATGATTTTCCTTGCAATCTGCATATCATGTCTATTTAATCAACAGGGAAACACATCTGATCTTGATTACTTTTAGCTTTCTCTAAAAATTTTCTATAACTTGGTTCACATTTATGACTTGACTCTTTCTAAATGACTCAATATTGTTCACTACATCTAATTCTTTTGACCCATCCTTAGGGATGAAATTCAGAGGCACGAGGACACTAAAATTGACTTCCAAAGTAGAATTTCAGAAGAGGTAGATACTTCAATTATATTTTTCTTATGAAATAATATATAGTGGAATTGGTTTCTAATATTTGGTTTTCATCATACACATTCTATTTCACATTATAGGCTCAAGGGAATGCAATTCTACAAGAAAGTCTGGAAAGACGAAAGAAGTTTTTGCATGAACGTCATCTAGCTTTTGAGCAAGATGTAAGTGCTAGATAGGAGAATGTCCTTTCCTACCTATCATATTTTTAAGTGTATTTAGTTCTCTTCTATTTACATTTTGTTATTTATGCTAGTCTAATGTCGATTTGGTTAGTAAAAGTAAAGGCTTATGTTCTGATTTTAATACAGTTTGTTCTGGCTTGGAATATAATTCAATTTAACTCAATAGAGCCTTGTCCCGCAATATCGAGTAGGCTAAATGAATCCTGTTCTTTCGACTTTATCTAACACTACACCATTAATAATGCACACGCTATTGAATCTTTTCTTAACATTTCAATTCATATTAATTTTGGTCTTCATTTTTTCCTAACATTTTAACACTGACTGTGCCACACTTTCTTGGTGGTCAGTTTTTGGTCCTCACTGCACATAATTGAATCATCTTAGTCAATTTTTTCTTATTTTGTCTTCAAGCTACTTTAACCATCTCAGATGTAATGTATTTCTAGTTTCCTCCTTTTTTACACCACATCCGGCTCATTTTATATGCTTCTTGTTTTTAGCTACCCAATGTTTTGTCTCATAAAGTAAGTTGAGTTTGTAATTCTTTTATAGAACTTCTCTCTGACTGCTCAATATACTATAAACATTCCTCAATTTATCTCATTCTACTTCAATTCTGTTAGCATCATCACTATAATCTCTCCCTCTTTATGAATAATCAAGTGTATGTAGTGGATCGCCCTTTGATATCTCTTAATTCTCAATCTAAATTACATTCCGCCTTGTATTTCTTTGCTAAAATTACATTTTGTATATTCAGTTTTAGTTTTACTTACCTTAAACTCTCTTTGATTTTAAAGCTTCTCTATAATATATATTTGGCAATTATCCTAATTTAATATATTAATCATGACAATATTTTTATCTAATAAAATGCACCTTGGGAACTCATTTTGAATGTATTTTGTCAGTTCATCCATAATTAGGAAAAAAATTAGGGTACTAAGGCTAATAATTGATCTACGCTTACAGGAATTGAAAATTTCTTTTTTTTCTTCATTCAGTTACTGTGGTTATAGCTGCATTATCCTATCGCTAAATCTATTTATGACTCATTTATTTTCTAAAATCAACCATATTATATTTCCAAGGGTCTTATAACTAGTTTTCTTCATATTTATAAAAACCATATGAAGAATCTTCTCCTTACATCCTTCCATTAGTCTCGTTAGTAAGTGTTCATAATCATATGAGAGAGAGAGAGATTGTATCTTGTATATTCAACATAACAGACCTAATAAGCCTATGCAGGCTTATATAATGATTACAAGTCTTACTTAATAACACAAGGGCCCTATCAACTTTCTGTAATTACATAATGACCCAACACTTATATATATATATAACATTCTAACACTCCCCCCTCAAGCTGGAGAATATATATCAAATAATCCCAGCTTGGAACAGATAGTTCTTAACCGGTTATGCCCCAATGCTTTGGTAAACATATCAGCTAATTGATCTTCAGACTTCACAAATGGAGTAGAGATGCTCCCACTTAATAGTTTTTCTCGAATGAAGTGACAATCAACTTCAATATGTTTGGTCCTCTCATGAAACACAGGATTTGATGCAATGTGAACTGCTGCTTGATTATCATAGAACAATGGAGTAGGAGCTTCAACTGTTAACCCAAGTTCTTTTAGAAAATGTTGTATCCATGTCAACTCATTAGTGGTATGAGCCATTGCCCTATACTTAGCTTCAGCACTAGATCGAGCTACCACCGTTTACTTTCTACTTCGCCATGTAACGAGATTTCCTCGTACAAATGTGCAGTATCCTGTAGTAGATCTCCTATCTGAAGGAGAACCAGCCCAGTCAGCATCTGTAAAACCTTCCACCCTGAGATGACCATTTGATTTATATAGTAACCCTAAACCTGGAGCTTGCTTGAGATATCGGATAATCCGAAGAACAACAATCCAATGTGGCATTCTAGGGACTCCCATGAACTGACTTACAACACTAACTGCATATGAAATGTCAGGTCGAGTGATAATGAGATAAATTAATTTCCCAACAAGGCGACGAAATCTGCCCGGGTCATTAAATAGATCACCCTCATCAGATACAAGTATTGTATTTGAATCCATAGGAGCATCAACCGGACGACCACCCAACATACCTGTTTCTTCTAATAAGTCCAACACATATGTCCGTTGGGATAAACTTATACCTTTCTTGGATCTAGCAACTTCAATACCCAAGAAATACCTAAGTTTACCCAAGTCTTTAGTGTGGAATCGATATTGCAGAAACAACTTCAACTTAGCAATGCGTTAAGAATCATCACCTGTGATCACAATATCATCTACATACACCACAAGAAATATGAAGCCAGCTTTAGTGCGCTGGTGAAACACCGAATGGTCGGTCTGACATCTATTAAGACCAAATTTTAATGCCACCTCAGAGAATTTCCCAAACCAAGCCCGTGGAGATTGTTTCAATCCATACAGGGCCTTTTTAAGGCGATAAACAGTGTGAAGATACTCCCCCTGAGCAACAAATCCAGGTGGTTGCTCTATATAAACCTCTTCTGCTAAGTCACCATGCAAAAAAACATTTTTAACGTCTAACTGAAACAGAGGCCAATGTCGATTAGCAGTAAGAGAAATCAAAACAGGAATAGAAGAAATCTTAGCAACGGGGGCAAATGTCTCATCATAGTCAATACCATAAGTCTAGGTATAACCTTTGGCAACAAGACGTGCTTTTAGATGCTCAACAGACCCATCTGGAAGATACTTCACAGTATATACCCAGCGACAACCAACAGGTTTAGCACCCGTAGGTAATGGAACAAGATTCCACGTGCCATTCTTATGCAAAGCATCCATTTCATCTTGCATTGCTTTCCTCCAGCCCGAATCAGACAAAGCATCCTGTACAGTCTTAGGAACAAATGTAGTAGACAACTTAGAGGAAAAACATGAGAAAGATGGCGATAAGGAATTATAAGAGACATACTGAGCAATGGGATGTTTAGTAACACACGAGCGAGGAGCTTTACGAAGTGCAATAGGCAAGGAGTCAAACACAATGGAAGGTGTAGGATCCAAAGACTCTGAAGACGATGGAGGAGGCACGACAGCAGATGGCTTTGCTTTTCGAGTGTACACCTGTAACGGGGCAGGCGAAGGAACCAGAGATCGAGGTTGAAGAGAAAGTGAGGGAAGAGGAACTGCAGAAAGATATGACTCAAGAGTATATCAAGAAGTGAATCAGTATTTGAAAAATATGGGATGGATTCACAAAATGTGACATCCGCACTAATAAAGTACCGTTGAGAAACAGGACTATAGCAGCGATAACCTTTATGAGAACGAGGGTAGCCAAGAAATACACACTTTGTGGCACGTGGGTCTAGTTTGTCAAAACCAGGACCAAGATTGTGGACATAACATACACAGCCAAAGACCCTAGGAGGAAGAGAAAACAAGGGAGAATCAGGAAATAAAATAGAATGTGAAGATTTGCCATCTAATACAGATGACGGCATACGGTTAATAAGATGACAGGCAATAAGAACAACATCACCCCAAAACCGGTTAGGCATACGCATATGAAACAAAAGAGCACGAGTTACTTCTAAGAGATGTCGATTCTTACGTTCTGCAACTCCATTTTGTTGAGGAGTATAAACACATGAATTTTGATGAATAATTCCTTTATCACTAAGATATGTATCAAATGGAGTTGAAGAATATTCCTTAGCATTATCAGAACTTAGAATACGAATTGGACATCCAAACTGAGTTTTGATTTCTTTGCGAAATTTTTGAAAAATTAAAAACAACTCAGAACGATCTTTTATTAGAAACAACCAAGTCAGGCGAGAATAATCATCCACAAATGTCACAAAATAATAAAATTTATTGATTAAAGAATGTTTTATTGGACCCCATACATCTGAATGAACCAAATGAAAAGGACTAGAGACACGATTATTAACCCTAGACTTGAAAGACACGCGATGGTGCTTACTAAGTTGACAAACTTCACATGACAAGAATTTCAAATGACTAAGACTATGAACTTGACGCTTCAAAACTTGAAGTGACGGGTGACCAAGTCGACAGTGCCACTGGAATGGAGACAGAGAAGACTGAAGAGCCACAGGATAAGGTTCGAAATCAAAATAATATAAGCCACCAGCTTCATGTCCCGTACCAATCGTCTTTTTCGTCTTGAGATCCTGAAACACACAAGAAGTAAGATCAAATGTAACAGAGCACTGGAGAGATTTAGTAAGCTTACTGATAGACATTAAATTAAAGGGAAACTGCGGAACATGTAAAACGGACGAGAGAGACAATGAATCACTAAGTTGAGTTGTCCCCAAACCTGAAACCTGAGTGGATGAACCATTAGCAAGGGTAACTCCTTGAGAAGGAGGTACAGAATGAAAATCAGATAGAAGAGAAGAACATCCGGTCATATAATCAGATGCTCCAGTGTCTATGATCCAAGGACTGCGAGTGGAAGACAATAGACATGTGTGTGCAGTACCTGACTGGGCACAGGTAGCTGTGGAGGACAAAAATTGAGTATACTCATCCCGTAGAACAGGGACCGTATCTGATTCAGCCACGTTGTGAGATCCTGAAGCAACATCATTTGGAGAAAAGGAAACTTGATTTGCATAACTAGATGGTTTCCCATGAAGGTCCCAACAAAAGGTCACAGTATGATTAGAAAGACCACAATGAGTACATTTTCTTAATTCCCTGCCACGGCCACGTCCTCCTCGTGAATCACGACCACCACGTGTGGAGCGTCCCCCACGACCTCCACGGTAAGCATTATGTTCACCCTTTGAAACTACCAATGCTGAACGCTCACTGTTCTGTCCAGCATTCAAATTTGACGTATCACTTGCTAGTGTAGCACGTTGAAGGCGAGAAAACACCTCAGCAAGAGAGGGAAGTGTTGGACTGCCCATAATCTGTGCACGAAAAGGCTCATATGCT